AGACTGTCTTTCAAAAAACAAAAACATGTGCTTTATAAAAATAGGCATGCAGAAAAATATACTTAGCAGATACAAGATACATGATTTTTGGTGATATGCACATTATATCTTTTTTTTTTGTTTTTTTTTTTTTTTTTTGAGATAGGGTCTCACTATGCAGTTCAGGCTAGCCTTGAACTCACTTTGTAGTCCAGGCTGGTCTTGAACTCACAATGATCCTCCTGCCTCAGCCTCCCAAGCACTGGGATTACAGGCGTGCGCCACCACACCTGGCCCCATTTGTGGCTATTTCATGCCATTTCATAATGTGCTGTAGCTGCAACAAAGACTATGGTCCATGAGGTTAAAATATTTACTATTTTTTCTTCTGCGTAGAGGGCGGGACCTGACCCCCACACAGGGCCCACAGATACTCAGAGTTCCTGACCCCCTGCAGGGTGGCCAGGGCCTTAGGGATCTTTTCACGGCAACACGCCACGTAGCTGTCCTTCCTCACTGTGCTAACGTGTAGAATGAGTGCACAGAGCGATGGTGGATGTGTGAGTTTCCTGACGCTGCTGAAACAGATGACTGCTGGCTGGTGGCTTAAGCAGTAGAAATTTATCACATACATATATATGTATATGTATATATATGTTTTGTTGAGACAGGTCTTGCTGTGTGGTTCTGGCTGGTCTTGACTTGAAATCTCCCAGCGCCGAGTGTCTCAACAGCCTTGAGTGTTGGAACCACAGGCATGCCCCACAGCGTCCAACCCTCTGTTCTGAAGGCTGGAAACCAGCTTGGGTTGAGCTCCCTCCAGAGGCACTGGGGCAAAGTTGTGTTCCTTACTTACAGCTTCTGGGGACTCCCGGAGCTTCAAGGCTGTGGCTACTTCCTCCTTCCGTGCAGCTGTCCATTACGCATGGCTTCTCCTCTTCTCCATGTCATCTTTTCTTCTGTTTCTTATTTGGATATTTGTCATTGGATTTAGCGCCCACTTGGATTTTCTAGGGCCATTTCATCTTGAGATCCTTTACTTACATATGAAGAGACTCTTCTGAATAAGGTAATGTTTGTGGATCCCAGGGGTCAGGATGCAGCTGCAACTTCCGAGGGCCACCGTTCAGCTCACTCCTAAAGGTGAAACTATTGGCAAGGTGGTATGGATCGTGGCCACCAGATGGAACTTGGGGTCATTACACACCTTACCACATGTACCAAGGGGAGGAAAAGCCATTGTATTTAACAATTTCCTTGGTGAAGCAATAAAAATTCATCTGAGTCTGGATCCTTGAATTTCTATCTATTTAGTATTCCATGTCCTGGAATCCCAGGATCTTTGAGTGAAAACAGGAGAGGGGTTTGACATGCAGACACCTCAGAATGTGCCCCTGATCCTCTGCTAGGTAAAGATGCTGAGAGCTAAAAGTGAAGAACAAATATGAATGCGTGCTACATGCCCAGCTCACTCTTCTGGAGTTTTGATTTTATATCAAGAAGTATATGTTACTGCTTTTACAATGGAGTGAAAAATCCTCTTCACGTCTGTTACAAGCTTTTATTTTTCCTCCTGAATATGATGATGGGTAGCGGCAAGAATGGTGGTCACATGTTGAGAAACATTACTTGGGGGCCACGGCAGGGTACAGCCTGATCTCCTGCCTGCCTGTAGGGAGACATGAAGCTCTTCTGGAATGATAGGCGTGTGCCCCCTGCTAGACTCTTCTAAGGTGAGGCCTTCGGTCACAAGCAGGACAGTGCCACCTTCCGGCCAGGAAGGTGGACGAGTGCGGCCCTCTGAACACCTGCTCAGGCTCTGGGCTTCCTCTCTTGCTGGGCCGGCCCTTCTCTCCTTTGGTCACCTCTGCTCAGGGAGCTTCAGTCAGAGCAAAGGAACAACGCACATGGGAAGCCCAAGCCCATCTTGTGCGTCTTGCCTTCTTCTCAGACTGTTGGATCCTGGGAATCCAGCAAGTTTATGTAACTGTATTGCTGAAGGGAACTCTAGCTCCTTCTTTGTCACTGCCGCTAACGCACGACTTTGCTGAAGGAAGAACGAAGTAGTAGCATCTACCTGAAATGCTGTGTGCACCGCGTCCGTGCTCGCCTGCGGTGTGCACATGTGGCTCGTGTGTCCATCTGAACAGTAGCCTGTGTCTGTCAGCCGTGCATCTGCACATGTGGTGCGTGCGCCCGTGGCTCGGGTGTGCGCACTGTGCTGTACTGCCCGGTTCCAGCAGAGGCTGCCCCTCGGCTGAGTGTCGCTGCTGCCGGGGCTCCCCCGACTCTTCCCACCCCGCCACCCTCACCTCCATCGATCTCCGCCTTCTCTATCTTCAGTAAGGAATCCGGAGTAATGTGGCTGCAGCAGTTGCACCCACCCACCTCACCCCTGGAGAACAATCTTCCCAGGAAGCGCCGATGCACAGCGTGCCGCGTATCAGCCACGTGCCCGCCGAGATTAGGGTCACCCACCCCGGGCCTCGGTGCCTCTCAGCGCCTGCAGCTCTGCATCCCCTCGCTCTGGGCTTCAGAAACCCCTTCCCAGGCCCTCGCCCTCCCCCGGCAGCCCCTGAACACGCCCGGCTGGCCTTACAGGTGGAGGCCTGGGGCAGCGCGCGTCCTCCGGCGGGCCGGCTGGCCCGAGCGCTCCGGGCGTGAGCAGGGTGCGAGGCCCCGAGACGCGCGCTCCCCAGCCCTAACCTTTCAGGCCAGCACTCCCGCCCCTGCTCCGCTTTCCCGCAGCCCGGGACAGACCGGCACGGCAGCCTCCCGGCGTTTTAGCAATGCGGGCCAGAGGTTTTAGCTTCTCCCCATCTGGTTGGCCAACCTGCCTCTTCCGGAGCAACTTGACGCAACGGCCGCGCCACCGACTCTGCGCACACGAGGCTGTAGTCAAATCCAGCGCCAAAGGCGGAAGGACTTTTCCCCGACCGTCAGGCACTGCGGGGTCCCTGCCACCCCCAAAATGGCCGCCACGCGCTTCCGCCCCCGGCCACTACAAATATGGCCGCCAAGCGAGGCCCCTCCCACTCGGGTGCGTCGTCAGCTCCTCGCGGGCGTCTGGGTCTGGCCGCAGCCAATAGGAAGGCAGCGCGGGCTTAAGGCGCGCACCTCTCGGGTGCGGCTGCTCGGCAATGGCGGGCCTGCGGGGTCCGCACCGGGAGGCTCCGGGCTGCAGGCGAGCCTGGGAGGAGCTGCTGGGTAGGTGGGCGTCAGGCGGCGGGGCGTGGGGCGGCGCTGCTCCTGGAGGGCCGGGCTCGATCCGGCTTGGGGGACTGCTGTTGCGAGGCGAGGGTGACGGTGCTGTCACGTTTTGAAACCGATTTCCCCCTTAGCGGGAAGGCTTAAGCGACAAAAACATAATCCTGAACGTCAGCAGAAATTAAAGGAATCGGCTGTGCAGCTCCTGAGACGCCACCAGAACTTGGGGGACCTTCTGCTTGAGGTGAGGGGGAGCGCGAGCGCCCTGCGAGCAGTGCCGCGCCGGGCGGCGAAGGTGGCGCGCGTGCCCAAATCGCGGGCCACCTCTGCGGGAGAACGCAGAGTACTTCTTAACAAAGAAAGGAAACTAGGAGAAAAGTCTTGCAAGTAAATGCGGAGCACACCTGCGGGGGAAGGAGGGGAACTGAAAGGAAGGCTCTTAAGTGCGCGCGCCGCGTCCCTAAGGTGAATGTAAGCAGCGCGAACTGCAAACGCGTGTGAATAAAAAATGCATATGCGTGAAGAAGGAAGTTGCAGGGCCGGAGACGGCTCAGCAGGATAAGCGCTGGCCTGGCACGAGCAAGGGCCTGAGTTCAACCCCCGGTTCCGCCAAAAAAAAGGAAGTGGCCTTGGCAGGCAGATTTAGGTTTGGGGCTTTGAACTTGAAAAGCATAGTGTACCTGATGAGGCCACCGGAAGATGCTGACCAGGTGAGGAAAGCTGCAAGCATTTACGTCCTCGGAGATGAATGCAATTTTTTTTTTTTTTTTTTTTTTTGCGGAACCGGGGATTGAACTCAGGTCCTTGTGCTTGACAGGGAAGCGCTTATCCTGCTGAGCTATCTCCCCGGCCCCTTTAATAATAATTTTAAAGAGGCTTAAATAAGTTGTACTCTTAAAAATAGTTGAGAATGCTGAGGACGCAGGCATTTTATGAACAGAGCCTAAATTTTAAAAGCACTCTTCATGTTTTGGTTTCTAGGTAGAAAATCCACCCATTAAAAAATTGTGTCTCAGTCAGTTGGTTGATTGTGACAGTGCGGAGGCCTGCAGTGATCGATCTAGCGCCTTTATAGGTGAGCTACAGCTTCCTTTTCTTTCTTTCTTTTTTTTTTTTTTTCTTTTTTTTGGTGGAACCAGGGATTGAACTCAGACCCTTGCACTTGCTAGGAAAGTGCTTATTCCACTGAGCCATCTCCCTGGCCCCCTTTTCTTTCTTTTTTTAAAATGTATTTCGTATAGGATGTACAGGGTCTACAGGGTCTCACTACGTAGAACAGACTCTTAGCGATCCTCCTGTTTACAGCCTCCCAAGTGCTGGGATTACAGGCATGCGCCACCATGCCCAGTCTCAGTCACTGTCTCAGCCGGCCTGGGGGCAGGCTGGCACTCCAGGCCCAGGGATTTTTGCACCCTGGCCCCTCTGCCTATACAGGTGCTTTAATCTGCTGAGCTATCTGGCTGGCTCTCCCATCACATTTTTAGTATGCAATGATTGTTGTTTTGCAAAGTGACATTAAATTATTTATTTATTTATTTATTTATTTAGGTGAAACTGGGGATTGAACTCAGGCTCTTGTGCTTGCCAGGGAAGCGCTTATTCTACTGAGCTATCTCCCCGGCCCAATAATTTGTTTTAAAGTCTATTAAAAGAACTTTAAATTAATAGTTCTGCCTTGCCAACTGATCACTAAATGCCACTAAATGATAATACTCTTCATTTGTTTTCTTTTTTTGCCTTCCTTTCATAATTGCATTTGAATTTCCCGAGTTCTGCCCCAGTACTCCAAGAAATAAAGCTTAGCTGTGTGGTTTTTTTTTTTGGGGGGGGCCTCTGAATGCCATCAGGGCAGGTTTGGCTGGCTTGAGTTGTGGGGATCGAGCGTGACTGCTTTGTTGAAGCAGCCACTTAAAGAACTGAGCTTCGGGGCAGACCCCCCTAGCTGTGTGTTCTTGTATGGACTCTAGGTCAAAGCATAAGAACTTACATAAGGATATCTTTAACCTTAACTATAGAAGTATAATGTCATTTTTTTTTAATATTTATTTATTTTTATTTATTACATTTATTTATTGTGTGTGTGTGTGTGGCCAGCTCAGCCCACCAGGGGGCGGGTCTGGCTGGCATGTGGTGCTGGGGGATTGAACCGCAGTCCCTGTGCTTTGCCAAGCTTGTTCCAAGTAGGTGCTTTAGACCACTGAGCCATCTCTCCAGCCCCAACTATAGAAGTATAGACTCAATCCATTAATACTTTTTAGTTTTATTTTTAGTCTGATTTTTAAGGAGATTGCTACCATACTGATGATGTGAGATTAATGTCTTGTAAAGAAAAGAAATTCTCACGTGTATAAATTGGAAGCATGTGCTTAGCATTTTTTCCTACCTTTCTACTGTGGATTATATCTGGGCCATAGCAGCTGATTTTTAATATTGTAATTTGAAGTACCTATAACTATTGTACATGAGTTAATTTAAATATTTATATTTGTTTGTAGAGCCTGGCAGATAATGGACATGTGCTATGGTTTTCTGTCTTTTTTTTTTTTTTCCCCAGAGCCGGGGACTGAACTCAGGCCCTTGTGCTTGTCAGGCACGTGGTTATTTTGCTGAGCCATCTCCTCAGCCGCTTGTCTTCTTTTTTCTAAATTCACATTTAAAAAATTATTAGTAGGGCTGGTAAGATAGCTCAGTGGACTAAGCTCCTGCTGAGGCAAGCACAGGGACCCAGGTTCCACCCCTGGTCCCACATGCTGTGCTGGCCCCATCCCTGAGGCTTGCTGAGCTGGCATCCTAGTCGCGGAGTGGTGGCGCACGCCTGTAATCCCAGCACTGAGGAGGCTGAAAATAGGAGGATCACTATGAGTCCGAGCTGCATAGCGAGACCCTGTACCAAATAGGTAAATGAAACAAAAGCTTAGTGCCTGTTTCCAGAACACAGTGGTCACGGGCAGTGTGGGGAGTCAGTACATGTCCATAACATATTTTGTGTCCTGTTTTTCTCTTGAAAGTTAATTTTGGAAGCCAGTACATTAGAAAATGCCTTGCTTGTGGGCATCACTGGTTCTGCCCTGTCAGGCATTTGCACTTTAAGGGCTGCAGGCCCCTGTCTGGTGGCTGCCTAAGGGCCATGATGCAGCTCCCGCCTGGGGCGAGGACTGCGTGTGCCTCTGGCCCGGCTGCGCTCCCCCTGCCCCCTGCACAGCAGAGTACTGCGCAGGCCCAGCGCAGCAGAGCCGTCAGTGGGAGCAGAGAGAACGAAGTCCTCTGGGTACACGCGCGTCAGAATGCACTTGCAGTTGCTGCGCGCCTGGCGTCAGCTGGGGCATAGCAAGCGGGCGGACAGCACTGGTTGCAGGCATTGCTGGTGCGTGTGCCAGGAGCTGCTTTGACTGTGATATCCTTGAGCTCAGCATCCCCTTGCGTCCGCCTTCTAGGGGCTGGGATGACTGCAGCGCTGTGCTTTGCCCAGCCGTTCTTTTATGGCCAGTTTGCTGCTGTGCTACGTTTGCAGGAGGCGTTTCAGACCCCAGTCTTGCGTTTCCAGTTTCCCCATGTTTCAGGGAAGCCTGTGGTCTTGCCTTTTAGGCTCTGCCTTGCGGGATCAGGCCTCGAGGCTGGGGGTTCCTGTGGCGCTCCTGGCAGCCAAGATGGTGGCCTGCAGCATGGAGCGGGTGTGTTCGGAGCCCAGCCACCCGGCTCTGCTCAGCCCGGAGCAGAGGGTAAGAGCCAGAGCCCCTTCGGTGGGGGCACATGCATTGCTGTTGGACTCTTGGGAGAAATGGCACATTTCTTTAATATTATTTTAGTTCACTGGCCTGTTTTTAAAAATACTCTCTCTCTGTTTTCAGAAAAAACTGTCTTCCTTAGTGGATGTTGCTCAGTATTTATCGGCACACGGAATGTTCTCCCGTCTCTCCTTCTGCCAAGAATTGTGGAGGGTGCAGGTGATTTGAGCTTGCAGTTCTAGTCAGGCTTTTCAGGGTGTTCTGCTTTTCAGGGGAATCTTGGGATTCCCTTTCTTACGCATTCAGCCAAAGTCCGCAGTTATTAGTTAGAAGGGGGGCATTGGATGTGCTGTGGGCAGGAGGAGAGTACTTCGGTTCCCCATTCACCCACAGTGCGCGAGGGCCGGGACTGTGTGGGGCAGGAGGTTGCCCACCGGGGCCCAGACGCTGCCTTCTTCCTTAGAGCTCTGTGCGGCTGGAAGCAGTGTGGCGACTGCAC